CCCTGGAGGGGGGTTTGCTGCACAAATCTGGGCTTATTTCTGACCCCTCAGGGTGCTGAGCCACATCCCAGCACTGTTTATATCCATCTCACTGAGTGGCTGAGGCTGGCCTCCAACTTGCGATCCTCCTGCCTCAGCCTCCYAGGCCACCCGGAGGACAGGCGTGGGCCACCGCGCCTGGCCCTGTGCACTCTTTGAATGGCCAAGGGGAAGCCCAACTGTGCTCAGTGTCCCCACCCACAGTCACCAGCAGCCTGGGAGGACACTGGCCTGGACCCCGGACAGGGAGCCTCAGGGTGTGGCCCGGCTGCTCTGCTGCTTCTGGTCGAGTCTGGAGGCTGGCGACCATGACCTCCAAGGTCCCAGCTTCCGATCTGTCAAATGGGCCTGGAGACAAGGCCCACCCGGAGGTTTGGCGGCAGGCTGGGTGACATCAGAGGGAGCTGGTCCCCACGGGCCCCCTCACTGTGGAGCCTGGAGCAGCCGCCCCGTCTGGCTGAGGCTGGAGGGGGCCTCCCTTGGAGGCTGTGGCATCTGGAATTCCGGGCGGGGCCCGACATGCCGGCTGCCCACCGACCCCTCCCGGGAGGTGGCATCTGGTTCTGTTCAGYGGAGCCACTGCGGGATGTCCCTCCAGGAGCGGGGGCGGGGAACAAGGCCCTTCTGTCTGGTGGCTGCCTGCTCCCTGCGGCTGGGCTGTGGGTCAGAGCTGAGGCCGGCCATGGGGCACCTTCGCTGATGGAAGGAGGCCAGTTTGGTGGGGAAACTGAGGCACAGAGGATGGGACACTCCAGAGAGCTCAGTATGTCCCCCGTGGAGGCAGGACTGGGACGCGGCCCCTGCAGTCAAGGTCCTGAGCTGCTTCTCTTCCCCCTCGTGGGCTCCACGTCACCCAGTTATTTATTTATTTTTGGTCCCAGGGGTTGAACCCAGGGGTGCTGACCCCCTGAGCCCCGTCCCCAACCCTATATGGTATTTTATTGAGAGACAGGATCTCGCTGAGTGGCTTAGGGCCTTGCCAAGTTGCTGAGGCTGGCCTCCACCTTGCGATCCTCCTGCCTCAGCCTCCCAAGCTCCTGGGATGACAGGCCTGGGCCACCACGCCCAGCCCTTTTTATTTTTTTTAATTTTGAGATAGGATCTTGCTAAATGGTTGAGGCTGGTCTCCAATTGGGCATCCTCCTGCCTCAGCCTCCCAAGCGGGTGGGAGGGCAGGTAAGACTTCGAAGGTAACCTGGGGAGGCAGGTGACTGCGGAGGGACGCAGTAGAGGGTGGGGACTCCGGGTGGGGACGACCTGCCATTAACTGCGACCTCTTTCAGCAGATTCACCTAATGAGAATCAGATCCCGGCTCCCGTCCTGGGCCAGCATTTGTGCAGTGGGTGTGACCTGCTTGTCCTATTATTAGTCACCAACCGCAGGCGACTGGCCCTCCCATTGGACCCACGGGGTTTCTGCCCAGCCCAGGGGAAGCCCACCAGGCGAGGGGTGGTCTCCCGGGTTCTGATTGGCTGACGAGCCTGTGGGTGCTCCTTGGCGTCCGCGGAAGGTTTTACCGAGAACATCCTGGCGCTGAGTGAATATGGAGCTGCATCCGAATCTAACGGGGAAGAAATGGACCTCAAGCCTGAGGCTACCAATTGACCTGCCAGGACGCCTCAATCGGACCAGAGGCCCCGCRGTGGCCACGCCTGTCATCCCAGCCACTGGGGAGGCTGAGGCAGGAGGATCACAAGTTGGAGGCCAGCCTCAGCCAAAGTGAGGCCCTGAGCCACTCAGGGAGACCCTGTCTCTAAATAAAATACAAAATAGGGCTGGGGAGGGGGCTCAGGGGTCGAGGGCCCCCCGGGTTCAATCCTTGGTATCCCCCCCCCAAATATACATGAAGAATCCTCCATGAATCAAATGGCACTAGGCAAGGCTCCTGGTTCCCAGAAACTGCAGCTTCCACTGGAATTATTGCCTAAGCCTCGTGTTCCACACCTGGCTGTCCCCTGACACTGGTCTCATGTGTAGCAGGTTATGCTAAGAAGTGACCTCTGGGCTCTAGGAATTGGGTTAAGATGATGTTTGAAGTGTAGACAGTGATTTCCAGATGGAGGTCCACCTCTCCAGGGGATAGCATGACCTGCCATCCTGATGCCCCAACAAAGACCCCAGACCCAGGGTCACACTGTCCCCGATAGAGTTTTAGAATATGACTTTGCAAACTAGACAAGGCATTGCGATCACCTGGGGGGATCTAGTTACTTATTTTGAACTCTCCATGTCTTAGCTTTACTGCAACAAAATACTTGAGGCTAGCTACTTTACAAAGAAAAAAAAAATATAGTGAGTTCAGAGTTTTGAAGGTTCAAGGGCCTGGTACTGTCATCCTGGCCAGAGTGCCTTGGGCGAGTGGCTTCAGGGTGGATTGTCACGTGGTGAGACAGGGAGCCAGGAAGATTCAGGGGCTATTCTCGCGGGAACTAACCAGGGTCCTGAGAGACACACTTTGGGCAATGCCCCCAGACACCTCACAGCTTTCTGTTGGGCTCCACTTCTAGAAGGTTCTATCCCGCCAACACCCTGTCCCTCCAGACCAAACCTGCAGGGCCCAACCCAAGCCACAGCAAATGTCTTCTCCTCCTAACAGCTCAAGTTGTTTTTGAAATTATAAGGACAATGAAATGAGTCAGGGATGATTGACATGCCACACGCTGCTTCAAGCACCTGACTTCCAAACAGTCCAAGGAGCCCGAGGAGATGGCCCACGCCCTTCATCCTAGGGGCTCGGGAGGCTGAGGTGGGAGGATTGCAAGTTGGAGGCCAGCCTCAGCCAACAGCAAGGCCCTAAGTAACTCAGTGAGACCCTGTCTCTAAATAAAATTTAAAAGGAGGGCTGGGGAACGTGGCTCTGTGGTTAAGTGTCCCTGGGTTCAATCCCTGGCACCCAAACAAAACAAAATAAAAAAAATAAACATGGAGTCAGGAACCACTTGTACCCAGGGACACTGAGGCCAGAGGGGTAAAGCCACCTGCTGAAGGTCACATAGAGAAGCTGTATGTTTAAACCAAAAGCCTTTGGGTTGCAAAGCCAGTATTCCCAGACCTTTAGTGATGATCGAATAGAATTATTTTTATTATGCCAGGACGGAGGCTCAGAGAGGTGTAGTAACCTCCCCAAGGCTGCCCAGCAAGGATGCAGACCCAATAAACGCTACTGAGCCCTCTTTTCCCCATCTGGACTGGCCAGGTGGTGCAGGTGGTGCGGCTGGGCCCACCCAGTGGGTCCCTTGGTCCCTGGGAGCGGGTGAGATTGTCATGAATGTAAATCACACCGCTGCCCGCTGTGACCATTCTGTCTCCGCCTTATCAGCAGTAACTTCCTCCAACTGTGCGTCAGCCCCGCCCTGGGCCCCAGATTCCTGGTGGGTGATGCAGTTGTCTGATAGCAGCCCTGGCTGCAGCTCCGCTCACATAACAGGGGTCTGGAAGCAGCTCCCTGTGTTGGAGGGCACCACCAGGCCTGGGGCTCCTCAGTCCCAGAGAGTGAAAGTGCTGCCCAGGTTTAGACAGGAAGCTGCGGCAGGTTCTCAGATCAAGCTTTGGCCCCCTCATCCCCTCCTGGCTCGTTTGTGAGCTCTTCCTAGCTGTGTGACTCTGGACAGGTGGCTTTCCCTCTCTGTGCCTTTGCATCTAACTGCCTCACTCCTGTCCTGGGCTGCAGGGAGCCCCTGGGGTGCAGTGATCACTCACTTTTGGGTCATGGCTGCCACTTAGTGACGTGGGGCTGTTCATGCACCTGGGAGGGGGATGGGGTGCTGGACAACGAGGTTCTTGATTGACAGAGAGGGTCAGGCAGAGATTCAGAGGCCAGGAGAGACACAGGCAGGGGAAGGGGCTAAAGGAGAGAGAGAGGGAAGTTCTGGAAAGTTCTAAGTAAACTCTGAATCGTAACATTTATAACAGGGAAGATGGTGGGTTTCAGGCGATGTGAATTTTACTGCGTCTGCTGGGGCCTGGCTGGCAGCGGGGATGCCAGGTGGGTGCGGAGGAAGGAACCTGAGCTTGGGCCCCTGCCACGGTCCTGCTGCAGAGCCCGGGTGCTGGGCCAGGATCTCCTCCCCGGGCTGCGGGGTGCCGGGTGCCTGCGTGCTCTGGACAGGAGTTGGAGCACCTTGGCCAAGAAGAAGGACCTGGGAGGCAGCTTGGATCTGCTGAGGGTGGAGGTGGGGACCAGATGGTGGATTCCCCTCCCGCCTCCACTGGGGCCCCTGGTCTCAGCCCCAGGAGTTGACATGTTGAGTTTATAGTTTGCAGTGGGTGGGGGTCCCGTGCGGGCAGGACCCTGTCTCCACGTCTCCCCATTCACAGCTGAGATCAGCCTGGCCGGGCGCTGTGTCCCCGAGGACCTGCAGTGGTAGGGTGCCTGGGGGATCCCGGGAGAGGCAGCCAAGAGGGTGCGGCTGGATGGAGGCTGGCGGGCCTCTGCGGGGGCCTCCTCCGAGGTCCTCAGGCCATCAATGGGGCCTTGTCAACGGACACCCAGGTCAGGGGTCCAGGCGGAGTATGAGGCTCAGGCAGGCTGAGACCGGAGCTCCCCAGCGCGCCCCTGGCCATGGGGCCGGATGTGGGGCTCCAGGTCCAGCCCGGACGGAGGAGGAGGAGGGCGCCAGGACCAGGCACCAGGCGAGCTCCCGCTCTGCAGCAGCGCCAGGAGGAGGGTCTGCACAGCCCGCCCCAGCCAGCCCGCGGGGCCCAGACCCCGCCCTTGGGGCGTGGCCTGCTCGCAGCCCCGCCCAGGGGGCGTGACCTGGTTGCTCCGCCGCGCCCAGGGGCGGGGCATCTTCACCCGCCCCCCGCCCAGAGGCGTGGCCTGCTTATCCGCCCCGCCCAAGGGGCGTGGCATGATCACCCTCCCACCAGGGGCGTGGCCGGCTTGCCCCGCCCCGGCCCCGCCCCGCGCCGCGCGCAGCCTGGGGGCGCCCGGCTCTCGACGCGCCGACTGCGGACGGGACGGACGCGGACGCCCGGCGGAGCGCAGACCCGCGGTGAGTGTGCCGGCCCCGTGCGACCCGGGCCGCCGGTCCCCGCCTGCGCTGCCCCGGCCCCGCCGCCGCGCTGCAGCCCGGGGCTGGGGGCGCCACGAAGCCCGCGGGCCGACGGGCGGACGACCCCGCAGGCTGCCCCCGACTCCCCGCCGCCGGCCCGCGTGGCCCTCGCTCTGCGCGGGGTCAGCCGGCAGGTCCCCGCCTGGCACGTCTGTCGCCCACTCCCTCGCCCCCTGGCTGCGCTGGCCTCGGGTCTGTCCCCGCCCCCGGGTCGCCCACCTCGGCCGGGGAGACTGGGGCCTCGCGGGCTGGCGCCACCCCCGCCACCCTGTCCCCAGCCCCCGCCACCCTGTCCCCAGCCCCCTCTAGCTGCCACACACACCGCCACAGCGGAAGGTCTCGCACCCTCCGCAGGGGCACGTCCCGTCCCGGCCTCCCGCCAGCGCCGCCCCCGGCCAGAGGCTCCCGCACCCCTCCCCGCGGCCCCTCTACCCCCTTCTCCACGGCCCCTCTGCACCCCATCCCGGGTGCCCCTCTGCACCCCCTCCCCGGGTGCCCCTTTGCACCCCCTCCCCGGGTCCCCTCTGCACCCGCTTCCCAGTGTCCCTCTGCACCCCTTCCCCGGGTGCCCCTCTGCACCCCATCCCCGGGTCCCCTCTGCTCCCGCTTCCCGGTGTCCCTCTGCACCCTTTTCCCGGGGCCCCTCTGCACCCCCTCCCCTGGGCCCCTCTGCACCCGCTTCCTGGTGTCCCTCTGCACCCCTTCCCCACGGCCCCTCTGCACCCCCTCCCCGGGTCCCCTCTGCACCCACTTCCTGGTGTCCCTCTGCACCCCTTTCCCAGGGCCCCTCTGCACCCTCTCCCGGTGCCCGTCTGCACCCCCTCCCCTGGGCCCCTCTGCACGATGTGCTCCTGCACACAAGCGAGCAAGTGGTCCCCAGACRCGCAGCCTTCTCGGTGGTGGGTGTCTTTACTAAAAGCTTGTGCCCTCACCGCAGGCGGCAGCAGGGGACCCCACGTGGGCGCCTGTCACACGCAAGGCCCCCGTCACATGGGCCACACATGTCTCCCACACACGATCCGTGTGGCTCACATACCTTCAGATGGGACATCCCGTGCTCTGGGAATCTGGCACCGGAGCCTGGCACAGCCCCAGGCAAGGATGACCGTTTGGTCCCAGGCACCTGTGGGTCTCTGGGCAGCCCTGGGTGGGGTGGGGAACCGGAATCCTGGGGGCTGGCGGGGCATTTCTCTGGGCCAGGGTCCCTTGCTGCGCGCACCTGGGTGGTCTGGAGGGGCTCAGCCTCCAGGGGTGGGTTTGACTTTCTCCAGCCTCTTGTCCCCTCTCCTTCTTGTGCTTTCGGCTCCCCGCTAGGGGTGCCCTTTCAGTCTCTGTCCCCAGGGTTCTCCTTCCAGCTCTGTGGTGGCCATGGATGTGCTTTAGTGTGGGCGCTTATTCAAGCAGAGCGCTGGAGAAGGAAGGGTGCTGGTCCAGGAACCCCTAGGACTGGGTGGCAGGCAGGGCTCTGTTCCCTGGGGCTTGGCACCCAGGAGAAGCAGTGCCTGTTTGGGACTGAAGGACCCGGGCCCTGGGCCTCACTTCTCCATATGAAAATAGGGGTGAAGATCGCGTCCCCAGGAGGGCGGGCAGAGTGGCCAGACCCGGCTCCCCACTCTGATCCGGAGCAGGACAGGGTGGGGCGCCAGGGGTGAAGTCAGAGAACCTTCTCCCCGAGGCACAGCCCGCCAGCCCCGCGGCTCGCCCTGCTGTTTGCTTTGGCTGGGAGCGTGTTATTATTATTYTAGAAAATTTAATTAGCTGCCAGCATTAACAAGTTGGCCGATTTCACATCAAAGTCCGGATTTCCGTCTTCTCTGGAAGAAAAAGAATCCCAGGCTCTTGCCTTTCGTGATCCTCGTGTCGTGCTGGTACCCACAGGCGGGTGGGGCAGCCATGCCCTTGGGTGGCAATGTCCCTCTTCCTTGGCTTCCTTGGCTCCTGGCTGGCCTGCTGGACCCCTCCTTGCTCTGACTGCTGGGGACGTGGGGTGTTGGGGGCTTCACGGCCAGGGTCAAGCTTTGTCCCCAGGCACATCTTGGGAAGCCTCGTTGTCTTACCAGGCAGAGGAGTCACAAGGGGTGGCCTTCATGCTGGACTGCGGGGGACAGAGGTCTGTGGTCCTCCCAGATGGAAGGCAGGAGCAGGGTACCAGGGATTAAACTCAGGGGCCCTCGACCCCCGAGCCCTGTCCCCAGCCCTATTTTGTATGTGATTTAGAGACAGGGTCTCCCTGAGTGGCTCAGGGCCTCACTGTTGCTGAGGCTGGCTTTGGATTCGCCATCCTCCTGCCTCAGCCTCCCCGGCCCTGGGATGACAGGCATGGGCTGGGTGTCACTGACCCTGTGGGGAGTTCCCTGAGCCTGGTCCACCTCGGACAGCCACATAATAGGTGCTCAGTAAGTCCTCCTGCCCTGTGTGGCTCAGGTGCGGGGACTGTCTTCCCACAGGGTCAGGGTGGAGTGGACCAGGGCCTAAGGGGACGCCTTAGTCCTCCATGTTGAAGGAGGACTTTCTAGGGGCCATAAAAGCCAGCACAGGATTCCTGCATCGGTGTGATGCTCACCGTGTCCCCGCGTGACCACCAGGTGGAGACTGCCAAATCTCTGGGCGAGTCCTTGTGCCTCTGGGATCTTTGGGGTGTGTCCACCCGATGCTCTGTGTGTCTGGCAGTTAGAGGCTGCGGGGTGGGAACGGGTTCCCTAAACCCCTGGCCACTCCCGGCAAATGAGATGCCACACAGAGGGACTTGGGGGACCCCATGGGGCAGAGGGACAGCCGGCTGCCAGCTCCCAGCTCCGTTCCCTGAGAGGAGGGGCTGCCAGCGCCTCCTTCGGAGTCCCAGTTTGGTGGCCCTGCGCTCTGGGTCAGACTCCTAGGGAGGCAGGTCAGCTCTGCTTTCTCCACGGGTCTCCTGGTACCAGGGGTCCTCGACCACAGAGCCCTGTCCCCAGCACCTTTAATATTTCATTTAGAGACAGGGTCTCGCAGAGCTGCTTAGGGCCTCGCTAAGTGGCTGAGGCTGGCCTCCAACTCATGATCCTCCTGCTTCAGCCTCCCGAGTGGCTGGGATGACAGGTGTGCTGCCCTGTGCCCGGCAGCCTTGGGGTGTTCTGAGCAGGAGCAAGAGACAGTCAGACTTGGGAGTTGGAGGTCCCTGTGCAGTCGGGTGTGGGGCAGGCCTGGGGGACAGAGCTGCAGGTGGGAGGCCTGCAGGGGACAGGGCAGGGATACTGAGGCTCAGATGCATATGCCTGCCCGCAGTCACGCAGAGGCTGAGGAGGACGGGCTGGGACAGAGGCCAGGTCCCCAGCGAGGGCCCCTTCCGGCTGGCATGGCTGGCGCGTGCCACTCTCCACCTCCTCTGGCGTGTCCTTCCCAGGCCCCGGGGGTCAGCCCCTGCGTCACTTTGCTCCATTGTCCTGGTTAAACAGGCACAGACGCCCTCCTCTGTTTCCACGGGCAGCAGGGGAGGCCGGTCCAGGGAGGCCGCTTCCTTCCTCAGGGCTGGAGCCCGCTGCGCCCCCAGGGCTACATTGTCCCTGGCCAACGTCCCCACCCAGGTCTGGAAGGGCTGCCACCCCCGCCCTGGGCAGCGGCCAGGAGTCTTGGCCTGGGGTGCGGTCATCCCACCCGTCTGTGAGGAGGGGCCTGGCCGTGGGAAGAGGGCTCTGGGGTGCGCGGGGATGGAGCTGTGCCCAGGTCATAGGGGTCCTCTCTCCGGCCTCAGTGGTTCCAGCTGTGAAATGGGCCAGGTGGCTGTGCCCGGCCCCGGGGTGGGCGGAGACGCAGGAGTGGACGCAGCCTGCCCAGCCCTTTTCATATCTTATTAGAGACAGGGCCTCCCCGAGTTGCTGAGGCTGGCCTCCAACTCGTGATCCTCCTGCCTCAGCCTCCCGAGCGGCTGGGATGGCAGGCATGGGCCACGGCCAGGCTGCGGTGTCCTGGACAGCAGAGGGCTGGCTGTCCCCTGCTGGCTCTGTCCTTGGCAGCCTCTCCTCTTATCTGCTCCCTGCTTCTCTTGGAAAGCAAGCTGGTCTCAGGACCTCCTCTGACCCCGCATCCCCCGGGCTCTGTGGCTGTTATCTGATCACGGGCTGCAGCACCAGGCCCTGGAGGGGACCTGTGCCCTTTCTTGGGGAGACTGGCCGAGGTGTTGGCTTCCTCTTCAGCACAGTGAGGCCAGGCCCTACGAGTGCCAGGTCTCCGCCCGCCTGTCCGCCTACCTTCTTGGCCTTCCTCCGACACTTAATATCATTGAGAAAACTCTCTTTGTTTTGCTGAAACAAACCTTTGACCCTGGCTGTGAGATCACTTGCCTGAAATCCAGAATACCCCCTGCAAAAAAATAGAGCAGGATCAAGCCCCCTSGGCCTCCTGGACCCTCTGTCCCCTGCCCACTCATTCTTAAAAAGGGCGGGGGGAAGTGTCTGGAGATATCATAGGTCCACCAGGACCACAGGATCCTTCTCTGCTGTCCTGATGGGTCAAAAGAAAACTGAAGGGGGATGTCCCTGAGGTCATCTCCAGCCCCATTTGGAAGGGTCCTCCTGTGAGCCCTTCTGTGTTCAGTTTGTCCGTGTTGGACATTTATTGAGTGACTCCTGTTTTTAGTGCAGCAAGACCAGCGACTTTTTTTTTGAATGAGGGACTAAACCCAGGGCGCTGACCCCTGAGCCGCGTCCCAGCCCTATTTATTCTTTATTCAGAGCCAGGGTCTCGCTGAGTTGCTCAGGGCCTCAGTGAGTTGCTGAGGCTGGCCTCCAACTCCTGATCCTCCTGCCTCAGCCTCTCGAGCCACTCAGCAGGTGCCCGGCTGGCAGGTGCTTGAGGAAGAACTGGGAACTGCAGGGCTCTGGCKGTCCTGCATCCGCCAGGCCCTGCAATCACATGCCTCCGCCACCTTTTACTAGTCATGTGACCTCGGGCAGATCAYGTACCTTCCCTGGGCCTCAGTTTCCTCATCTGTAGAGCGTGGTTAAAAAAAAAAAATCCTGGAATGTTTGCCAGGGCCTGACATCCTGCTGGCACAGAGGATCACTCATGAGCCTGATCAACAGCTCCAACCCCGACTGGGATCTCGTGCCAAGAGCACGTTTATTTTTCCCAGTGAACTTGACGACTTCCTTTTAGCAGACTAGGGGCCCCTGGGTCACTGTCTAATTTCCCTTTTGGCCTTGGCTGCCAGGAAGCTCACTCCTCCAGGAAGGTCTCAGGAGCAGCCCTTACTTCCTGTTAGGTCTTTGGTTCTTTTATTCCCTTGTCCCCTCTCTGTGGCTTATGACTCACTTGGGCTCCGTGGTCCCCATGTGCTATTAYTTTTTCTTTTGGCAAAATATGCCTGAAGTCTGCCATTGGAAGGCTCAGCTCAGTGTGGAGGGGTGAACTCAGCTCCTCGGGCGGCCATCATTGCTGACCTTCATAGAACTTTGTCATCATCCTGGACAGGCCTCTGTGCCCGTCAGCACCCAGTCCCCGCCCCCAGTGGCAGCCTTGGCCACCACATCCTCCTCCTTCTTTCTCTTTTGTTTAGGAACCGGAGCCTTCGMCCCCTGAGCCCTGTCCCCAGCCCTGTTTGTGTTTTATTCAGAGACCGGGCCTCGCTGTTGCTAAGGCTGGCCTCCAGCTCGCGATCCTCCTGCCTCGGCCTCCAAGCCTCTGGGCCAAGGCGGGTCCTCTCAGGGTCACCAGGCTCAGCAGGGCGGCTCCCGTGGTCCCTCCTGCGGTGGCCAGACCCTCACCTGGCTGCCCAGGATCCCAGACCCCAGGTGCAAGCCTGGCACCTGAGCGTCCCTCTGCCGTTCCCCTGTGGGGATGGTCACTGTGCTGAGTTTCACTGGCTACMTTGTCACCTGCCCATCCCTGGCCCCATCACAGTGAGGAGGGGCCAAGCCTCACCAGGTGCTGGTCCCCTAATCGTTCCTCGAGGCCAGCAGGGGGCCCRCTGGACAGCGGGCAGTTGGCACTTGGGATTCCTTGGGCTTCTCTGTTGGCKCTCAGTTAATCCCAGTCCTTCAAGGATGACACACGTCACCTGCTGTCCTAGTGCAGGGAGTTCAAGGTCACGACAAGGCTCTTGTTTAGGGCGTGTCACAACCACTCCAGTCCTTTCCCTATGGGCGAGTGTCCAGTCCTGTCCAGTGAGTCCCTCAGTCTGTCCCTGAACATAAATTGTCTTCTGTCTCCGGCTCTAGGCGTTTGTCATTTGCAGGGACGGTCTCTGCCTCTCTTTGTCCCCTTTACCATGTGGCCCTCCTGGGGTCCTGCCTGTCAGGGAGCAGGGGGTGCCCAGGACAGTAGCCATGAGGGCACCGTGGCCCCTGGGCCTGAGGGCTGGGCAGGCCGCTGGGGACCTCGGCCATTGGGGAGGGTCTCAGAGAGTAGCCAAGGCCTGAGGGCCACCGTCCCACCCTGACCCCGGGTCACTGGATCCTGGGAGACCGGAGGACATGGGGCTGGGGGTGCCTTCGAGGTCACCACTCCCGGGACTGAGCAGGTGGCCCCCAGGGCCAGCAGCACATCTGCAGGGCTGCACTGCCTCCGTGGGCCTGTGGGAACTCACGTGGCCTCTGCAAGGGTGGGGAGGAGGGGAAGGACTGGCGACGAGGTGGCATTTGGGTGGCGTTTGGAAGAGGAAGGCTGTCAGGAAGAGAGCCCAGGGAGTGTTTAGAGGGCCCCGCAGAGCTGGGCAGTCKGGAGCCATGGCGCTGGGGCTGTGGGTGTGAGGGCAGCCACTGGGGAATCGCTGGCACCCGGACGGCAGGAGGCCTGCTGCCTGGCAGAGCCGGGGTCTGTGGCCGGGGCGGAGTCTGCGGCAGAGGCGGGGTCTGTGGCGGGGCGGGGTCTGCAGCAGAGGGCGGGGTCTGTGGCAGAGGGCGGAGTCTGGCAGAGGGTGGAGTCTGCGGCAGAGGGCGGGGTCTGTGGCAGAGGGCGGAGTCTGGCAGAGGG